TACACGAGTAAAGCCATGCCCCCAGGGTTAAGTGTAGCTGTTCTCTTTATACACCACCTGATGTCACACAGGTCTAGGGACAGGGCAGGTTTCAGCCTTGGGAACATCTGCATCCCTTAGGAGTCTGCTAAACATGCACATTCCCAGGCCCCCTCCTGGCAGCTGAATGAGAGTCTCTGGAGGCAGGGCCAGGGAATTTGCATGTTTAACAAGATTCCCCACACGGTTCTGATGCAAGCGGGCACAGCCCACACAGTGGGCTAATAACTGTTAGCTCCACCCTCCTGTCTATAAACACCTTCCATTTTGTTACACTTCCTCAGAGCATCTCTCTGATGGGAGAGGTGGGATGCTGCCTGATTCATGAATCGCTTGATAAAACCAATTAGATCTTTGGATTTACTTGACTGCATTCTATTACTTAATACTTGTAAACTCAGGTCCAAGAGCCTTTTTGCTCTATTTTGGTAACTAAAGACTTCTAAAAATGTATGGGTGTCTTGTCAGCTTCCATGACAAATCCGTCCCAGATCCAGGAAGCATGGGAGGGGGTCAGAAGCCCCCCTAATCCGGTTGGGTGCTGTGCCTGTCTTCATGAGCATGAGTTTGTGAGGCAATGTGGCAGAAATCCTGAAGCATATGGAGTGCCCAGGGGGTATTAAGTTGTGGCCCCTGGTTCCCCAAGAAAACCGCCACCTCCAAAGCAACCAAGCCCACCAACACAACCCAGAGTGTTCCCATGAGCCTGACAACCTAAGAGCACTTTTGGGAAGCATCCAGGATCAGCTGCCAAGAGGATCAGATGGAGACTAACTGCCAGTGGAAAGCTTTAGAAGAACCGCTTCCACCACCAGGCCATTCAGTCAGGTGCCAAAGGAGCAAAGGGTATTTTAATTCGGTTTCTCAAATATGACCAGATTGTCACATAAGGATGATTGGCAGCTATTTTCCACTTTGAGGCAAAGTAAGATTGATGGATTTAAAGAGTCTCCCAGCCTAAGGACCAGGTTTTTAGCTGGTTTTTCTACCCTGGAGTTTAATTTTGACACCTGTCTGCATGTAGCCTGAAATCAGCACCAAGCCAGGACATAGACCCATCGTAAGGTTCCAGAAGGTCTTTTCTCAAACATTAGATTAGTGTCAGAGCTCCAGCTGACACTTCTAGATAAACTCTCACTGAGGCAGGACAGGAGGGAAGAACCGCAAGCTGGGATGCGTTGGCAGCCCCTTCCCACAGCTGAGGGACAAGCACCCACAGGCAACGCTTCCCTGGCACTTTAGACTTTACAGGGACTGTTATTAGTACCCACGGCAGCAGAGGCAATACTGAGGTAGGTGCTACAACTGTTCCAGTGGTGTTTATGAGGAGATGGAGTCATAGAGACGCTAAATTACTTTGCCCAAGCATACAGAACTAATTAGTGAGACAGCTGGGATTTGGACTCTGGCAGCCTGGGTGCAGAACCCCACCATTAACCATTAGGCTACACTGTCTTTTGTAAAATGGCATGACCATGACGCTACATGGCAAGTGATCCTGTAGAACTCTACAACAGATATAAAGAATTTATGCACTGACTTTTGTGGCCATATTTCGAGTTCTAGGTCATGACTTGAACTGCTACTTTCAGAGACCCTATTCCCAGAATCCCACTGGGAAGGAGGCAACAGTTGACATCTGAGCAAATCACCTTGAAGACTCGTTTATGGGTCTGTTTAGAACTTATGCTGTGTGGGTAGAAGGCGTGAAACAGCCCTAGAGGTCGTCCAAAGGGCTGGGAAACAAGACTCAAGTCCCCACTAAATGCACCGTAAATTTATTCACCTGCTTCCATTCCTGGGTCCATCTGGCCCCCCTTCCCTGGCCCTGCTCCCCAGGGACTAAGCTGCCTGCTTTGTCATCTGTTTCTACAGCTGCCTCCTTCTCAGGGTGTAGCCCAGGCGCCTGGGACTTAAGGAAGGAAGCCGGGTATCTGTTTCATCTTTCAGCGGCCGGTGTGGAGTAGCCGGAGTACGTAGCTGCTGGCGGGAGGCGCCGGTGCAGACTGTCGCAGCTCTCCCTGTGCTGGGGGGTATTCTGCCAGTGCGTAAAGGAAGCCCCCCAGGGCCCCCATGGCCATGGCTGTGTTGTGGGAGGAGCAGCCATCTGAGAAGAGAGAGTCCTCTGTCATTTCTGGGTGGTGCCCATAGTTCCACCGTGAGTGCTTTTCAGCTACACCCCTGCCAGCCTGGTACCTGCAAATCCCCTCTGCTGGGCTGGGAACCCATCTGCCAGCTGTTGTAAGTGGGGGCAACTAACAGCTCCCATCTTTGGAGAAATATCTTCAGCCAGTTGGAGCCTCCCCACCTGTGACACCTCCACCTAGTGACTTAACTAACACAGGGACACAAAGCCGGGCCACCCCCTGCTCCTGTGGTCTCTGAGGCCACACATGTGTCCAGCTCCTTCCTGTCTTCCCTGCTCCCAGGCCCTGCACAAGACCTTCTAGAAGAACACCTTATTGCCCCATTTGACAGATGGGGAAACTGAGCTCAGGCAGCAGACCTGAGCTCCCGGCCTGGTGACCCCACAGCCTAATTCTCGACCCCGATGGCCCCCTTATTGCTGCCTTGGGCCTGCCCATGTGACCCTGAGCACCAGCCTGAGACAAGAACCCCTTAGATGTTATTTGGTTTTCCGAACTCAAAGAGGGCCACCCACTTTTATTGTCTCGCTAGTGGAGGGACCCAGACTTTCCTCCACCCTCACAGGCTTGGTGAAGGAAGGACCTTGGTCAGGCCCCTCAGAGGGAGGGAGAAGGCAGGTTCCAAGGAGCCTAATTATTAACCCTGTAGTCTATGCTGATCAGTGGCCTGCCATATGCCAAATGCCATGGGGAGTGCCTTGCACAATGATCTGATACTAACCCCAAGAGCCCTGTGAAGGAGGTACTGTTTGGGCCCCATTTTACAGATGAGGAAACTGAGGCTCAGAGAGGCTGAGTGGCCCCCACAGTGAGGAAGGAGCAGAAGCAGATTTGAAGGGGCATGACTTCGAATCCATCTCTTAATCTCACCGTTACCCTGCTCCACGGGTGTGCATCACAAGTGAAGGGCAGAGCGCGCTCCTTCCTCATGGACAGTTTTTAAGTTGCTGGTCAACCTACAGGGGCCCCAGGAAGGACCCTGGGCCTTGGAATTTCTGCATTTCTCTTTCCAGCTCTCAGGATGGTCCTAGCTTCCAGCTGTAAATCTTTCCACTGAGTTTACAGCATGCCCCCTACCATCCAGCCATAGGTAGTAGCCCCAGCTCCCTGTGTCAGGCAGGCCTAATTTCTTGAGAGCTTCTCTTTCTTCCTCTGCTGTACCTTTGGTAGCAGCTACAAAATGACCCACTGGGTCTGTGCTTCCACGCCTCTCCCTTGTCTACCTGTAGGTAGGTGGTGAGACCAGGGAGGCACTGATGGAGGATTTGTTGGCTGGAATCATTCACCACCATATGCTGGACATCTACTCTGTGAGCTGGCTGTTCCTCCTCCCTTTCTGTGTTTGCCTTGAAGTTATTAATTTTTTTTGATAAAAAATAGAAAAGCAAATATCTTCCATCTCTCTTCCTCTCTGCATCCCTCTCCATCTTCCCTTCCATTACGTCTTGCCTTCCTTCCCTTCCCAATATGGTTATATCCTAGTCACAGCTTCTCTACATTGTTGGGCTGACCACATAATTTATCTTCTCAACCAGGACCCTTTTAGGAGGAAAGCAGCCACGATTCATAGTGGCTCTAGGACAACAGGTATAAGTTGGAGGCATCAGCACATGTGACCACTGGGATTGTGCTGGTTCAAAGATCCCCTCCCTGCCCTTCTTTGCTCTGAACCATAGTGTACTGACCCCTCCAACTACAGTCCCCAGGATGCCTCGTGCACCAGCTTCCAGTTAGGGTTGACCAACAGCAGGAACAGGAAGGAGGGGAGAAGCTGGGTATTTCTCCCCCATCCTCTGTCTCCTCTGTGTCCAGCTCCCAAAGGCTGTGGTAACCCCACTCCTCCCACAGTCCCTCCAGCTATGCCCCCTGGGTGGGCAGTGACTCCCTGCAGTGGTCAGTCTCTGAGTTTTCCCACTTTTTCTGTTTTCAGCTCTCAAAACACTTTGGACATGAGTCTCCTATATTAAATTCCCTCTGCTGGACTTCCTGGTGTGGGTTGTTTTCCTGAGTAGATCGTGACTGAGGGGCATGATCCCTCCTATTTTTAGTAATGTACTCAAAACTTCTCTATCCTGGCCCTTCCACTGGAGATAATGTCCCTGGGCTCTCCCTTCCTAAGAGGAGGGTGTCAGGGACTCCTACCCTTCCTTCCACCTCCCAAGCACAGAGGGCCATCCACCGGCCCCTTCAGTGAATAGCCAGAGGAGCCTGTCACAAATGCAGGTTCCTCAGGCCTACCCTCCCTGCTGGATCTGTAGGTCTGGGAGCCTGAGAATCTTCATTTTATAAACCTGTCTGTGTAAAAACAGACTATCTTACTGCAAAAACTCTGCCTCTTTGAACATCCCAGGCTTCAGCATTTATGGGGAGCCTCCTGTGTACCCTGCACAGGCCAGCTGGTTTCACATGTGTTATGTTGACTCCTCATAGTTCAGGAAAGGGATTTGTTTTGCTCATTTATTTACAGATGGGGAAATTGAGGCTCAGAGAGGTGAACCAACTTATTCTAACAAGGACCAGCTGCCCAGTGTCACATGGCTGGAACGGGGCTGCATCCTTTATGCACCCACTTCTGCTTCTATGTCACCTCCTCTCAGACATCTCTTTATGACCACTCTGCCTAAAGAATCTTCTGTGATATTCTTTTTTTCTCAGTCTATTACCTCCTTCATAGCCCTTATCAGAACATGTAATAATTTTGCTAACTGGTTTATTTAGGTGATTTCTGCCTCTTTTCCTCAGGGCCTTTGTTTTCCTGGAGCGTAGAGAAATGTCTGACACATATAGATACCCAGGGAATACTTTCACTGAGGGAAAGAATTTATTAATGCAGGTGTAGGAGGCTGACCTCTTCCCACAGGGCTGTCTCCTGTCCTGTGAAGTTTTGGATTCCAAAGCTGTAACCCCATTTCCATGTGTGTGTGTATTTGCATGTGTATGCATGCACGTAAGTATTGCAAATCCCTCACAGTGTCCCTAACACCACTGTATTCTTTCCTTACCTGGTCTAGAAACCCAGCCTCCACCACCCTCCCTCTCCCAGTGCCGCTCACCAGGCTTCCTGAAGCATCCTTCCTGTGGCTTCTGCCAACTGAGAATGGCCTCCAGCCACCGGAGCTTGTAGAAGTCAGAGAAGCCACCGATTCCACACAACATGACTGGAAGCAAAGACAGAGAACCTTCTGCAGGCCTCCCTCCAGGTTCACCTGCTCTCACCCCTCAAGGTCACCACGGTGCCTCCTGCCATCAGGGTGAGGCAGCACCAGGAGGTGGGCACTCAATGCAATGGCTGGAAGGGGGCAGCCCCCAGGCTCTGCCTTAGTGAGCAGGGGCTCCTAGACTTAGGGTCTTGGTTGGGAGCTGGTTGGGGTCAGCATAGGGATCTGGATACCCCTTTATGCCTCATCTCCAGGGCTTTGAGGTCTCTTTGCTGGTCAGCTAGGCAGTCAGCCCAGAGGTCTGTCACTTGGTCAGCCTTTGGGGGCAGGAAGCAGTCACACAGTAGCAAATACAGTACAGGATGCCCAGTTAAATTTGTATTTCTGATAAACAAATACAAATTTGAAAAGGCATATCCCATGCAGTGTTTGGGATATACTTATATTAAAAGTGTATTCATTGTTTATCTTAAGTTCAGAGTTAGCTGGGCAACCCCTATTTTAATCTGCTAAATCTGGTGGCCCTACTGCGTGCGTGTGCATGCGTGTGTGCGTGTGTGCGTGTGTGCGTGCATGCGTGCGTGTGTGTGTGTGTGTGTACGCCTGAACCAGGGACACCCTGCTGCTTTGTCCTTAGAGCGGAACGCTGAGGCCCACTGTTTTCCATAAAGATGTCCTGGTGGGTTAGGTATATCCGATGGCCTCAGCTCTCCGGTTCAGGGCCACATGTTGGCGCAGAAGAGATTCATGTAGAGCTGGCTCTGGGGGAACAGCCCATTCGTGCATCCTTTCTGGGGACACAAACAACAGGAGACAAGAAGTTGGTGGTACAGATAACAGATACCTGCTCTGTTACAGGAAAAGACCCGCAGTTCTGAGATGGTCTTGCAAGTGGCTGCGTTTGGGGCAGGTCTATCCCCCTTTCCCAGAATTTCGTCCCCATCCACACTCCCGTCCTCTGAGGGCTCTGTCACTGGGGCTCAGAGAGAGCTGGATTGGAGTCCCAGCTCTACACTCAGAAGCCGTGTGACCTTGGCCAGCTAAGTTAAGCTTTCTGAGCCTCAAGGGTATTCTCAGGAAAAGGACCATGTTCTGTGAGCTGCCCCAGAGGTGAGCTCCTGCGGTAGGCGACACGTTTCCTAGGAAGTGCCCTACTTGGTGCTCGACACTAGAGGGCGCTCTAAGCCATTAGCTGTCATTACATTGTGACTCCAGCCTAAACCCCTGGCAGCTTCTGAGCCCAGAAAGGACAGATGAAAACATCCTTTAGAAACTTCTGTAGCAGAAGGTGGTGTTAAGAGCTTGATTTCTGGAGGTGGGCCTAGGTTCAAATCCCGACTCTATTACTTTTTGTTGGATGACTAGAGAAAGTCTCCTTTAATTTCTCTTCATTTCACTTTCTTCATTTGTAAAATAGAGGTACTTCTCGGAGGTGGGGGTGTTGTAAGGATGAATGACCTAATGTGTAGAGGGGACTTAGCATTCTCTGCAGTGCAAAGTAAGCACTTAATAAAGCTTAGCTATTAGTACTAATTAGGGAGACTTAGGGTTCGCTGTACAGGAGGAAAAAAAAGGAAGGGATTCAAATTTCAGGGTGGGAAGCCCCTGTACTATGGGACAGGTTGGACGTTGCACAATTTGCCATGTGTTGGTATAGTAAGACAATTTTCCAGCAGATGGCAGTCAAATGACTTGAGGAAGGGAAGTTTTTTTTCTAATATTCTTAAAGGTGCCCTATAGGCTGGCAGTGGCCCTGCAGGGGTGGGAGAGAATGGTGGTGGTGGGGAGAGGAAGGTCAAGAGGTGGCCAGAAAGAGAGGGGATGTGAGGGAGAGCATCAGGGCTGAGAAGGTGAGAGATGAGGCTGGGCATCAACCTTCAGGCAGAGAACTTTGTTGGGGAGGGGAGCAAGGCTTAAGAAGGGTGCCAAGCAAGCCTTATGGGGTGATGGGCTCCCTAACACCCTCCTGTGGCTTGGCTCCATCCCTGAGCTTGCACCCCAGCAGTCTGGTTCTGAAGCCTTGTTCTGGACCACCTGGCTCTTCCAGCAGATGGAACGTTAACATGGTGGCATCCAGAGGGCTGCCCCAGTCACCAGGGAGACCCCTGTGGCCTCGTGAGTCCTGAGCCTTGTTCCTATTGCTCCCTGCCTGTGTGGCGGCTCCTGCCACCTTCTGGAACTCTCTCCCGGCTGGTGGAGGCTGCTGGTGAGAACTTTTGATCTCTTAGAGTCAGTGTCCACCTGGCTAATCCAAGCAGAGAGGACCCAGGAGACAAATGGACCCCCTCAGAAGAGGAACCCCATCGCTCTCTCTGGGGGAGGCTGGGGATGGAGGTAGGACTCTCATAGTGAGTGCTGTGTGAGCTGGTTTTCAAGCCCCTCCCACTTCGAGTGCGGTGGACCTGTGAAACCAACAAGAAACTGGGGCAATGATGGTGTGTGATTTCCTAGGCTTCGCTGTGAAAGACAGTGAGGCTTCCACCTTCCTCTCTTGGGTCACTTGCTCCAGGGGAAGCCAGCCACAGGTTGTGTGGACACTCAAGCAGCCTTATGGAGAGGCCCTCGTGGTGAGGAACTGAGGCCTCCCACCACCAGCCAGACCTGTGAGGGAGACCGGCAGCTCGGGCTGCCCCGGTCAGGCCTCCAGGTGGTCACAGCACGGCCAGCATTGTGACTGCAACCCTCTGTGGGTCCTTCCTCCGCTAAAAAAATACACATTAAAGATTGTGTTGATAAATGCCTTGGTATAAAGATGGATATGCGTGTCATTTAAAGCATTTCCTTTGACTTAAAAGCTCATTTATTTCTTCTTAAGAGAAATTACAACCTTTTTATAGGCCCCCAGAAGTATCCTGTGCTGGATGGGGAGGCCGGCCCTGCATGTTTTGTATTATTATTAACTTCCAGAGGAGTCATGAAGCAGGGCTGGGCCTGAATGAAGGAGACAGTGGCATGCGTCTTGCCAAAAGCTGGTCCTGGCCTGGAGGGGAGGGGACTAGGATTGTGGCTGGGGAGACACCAGGACGCCACCAGGCAGTGAGGCCAGGGACAGAAGCAGATGTGTCCCAGACCCCCTCCTCCTGCTGGGACTGGAGTGCAGGTGGGCAGGGGGCAGAAAGCTGTGACTGGCTATGCAGAGGGCATGATGCAGGGAGTGGGGAGCAGGGCAGACAGAGCCCCAGGCTGATACCAAGTCGGCTCTTTGTCACTTAGGCCAGAATGGCCTTTTGGGGAGGGGTTCGTTAACTGGAAGTGTGTTGTGTAGGGTGCCTCTCTGTTTGCCTTGGCCTGACTCCAGTCCCCTCAGTGGAGATATTGCATCCCTAAAGCTGAGCAAACACTTAGCTTTTTTCTCTGAGCTTTCAGGCGGCTTTGGCTGCAAGTGAGGGGAGTGGGGCTGGAACCTGATCTGAAGGGTTCCCCGTTTGTCTGTAGCCTTCCCATAAATACTCCTTCAAAGGACACACTCTGTCTATGCACCTCGTTCATGGCATGTCAGGAGGAGGGACTATTAAATAGATCATTTCCTTTAGGGAAAATCATAATTTTCAAATCTTTTCTTATGTGGCCTTTGAATCCTTCCTGCTTCTAAAAAAAATTGATTACAGCGAGGCCCCAGTCCCCCAAAAAGGAGCAAGCTGCCCCTTGCCCCTCTTTTCTTACAGACAAAGCTGGCTCTTTGGGGGCCAAGAAGTGGAAGTGGCCAGGTCCCAGGGGTGCAGACCAGACAGGTGTCAGGCTGAGAAATGGTTTTCCCGGTGGCGGGTCCAGGGGAAAGAGGGTGCACCCACCTTCCAGCACTCGGAACACTACCACACCGTCCAGGTTGATTTCTGGCAGCCTCTTCTTTAGGAAGGAGGTGGCTCTCTCCAGTGCTGAGAGGACGAGGTTTGCAATGGCGGCCTTTCCCTCTGGGGTGTCCGGTGGTGGCAACGAGGAGGGCTGCAGTGGGGGCACTGCCATCAGCAGGAACATGAGCCAGAGCCCCAGACTGGGCATGGCTGGTTGTCTGCTTGCCACCGGTCCAGTGCTTGAGCCCCATCAGCCCGCCCCAACACGCCCTCCGTCTGAGCTGCCTCCTACTCACTGCCCTGCTGTACTGCAGGCAGTGGCCTGGGCAGAGCTGACCCAGCAGCCTGGGGTGGCCCAGGCAGAGGGCTCTAGGAAGGGCCTCTGTGGGGGACTGGCTTTGAGGGACCCAGTGGTCTGGCCAGCCTTGGATGTGGAGCCAGCTGGCCACAGGCCAGGGAGGTGGGGGCCCACTTACCTTCTCAACCCTGATTCTCCAGGCCCACAGGCTACATCTTTGATCTAGCAGTTGCAGTTACAATCCAGAAATCTAAAAGCACTAAAGTGCAAACTTTTTTGTTTCGTTTTATTTTTTAAGTAAGTTTGGAATAAGCTCATTTGAGGGCACAGCTGCGTGACCCGATGGAAGATTCCTTAGAATGGCGTCTCTCCAGGAGAAACAGAATGTGAGCTGCAAAGATGAGCTGTGTGGGCACTTCAGAATTTTCTAGTGACCACATTAAAAAAGCAAAGAGAAGCAAAGAATGCATCCAATAGATCTAAAATATTGCCATTACGATTTGTAATCAATATAAAAATGACTAATTTTTTACATTCTTTTTTTTTAATTATCAGTTTTCTCATATTGAGTCTCTGAAATTCAGTGAGGATTTTACACTTGAGCCACAATTCCACTCAGACTAACCACATGTGGCTCCTGTATTGGACAGGGAACACTGAGAGCCCTCATTTAGCTCACTCAGTGTGAAAGCACATCTGTTTCCTTGCAGAAATGTTAATGTTGGTTTACTGGCTGCTGTCCTGAACTTTTCCAGGATGGTTACCTGTGCACCATATTTCCTTTTAAAAATCCAAAACATTCTGAATTCAGAAACATGCCTGGCCCAAAGGCTTTAGGTAACAGATTATAGATCTGTAAAAATAATAAAAATACTACCAGTATGTGCATGTGACATGTCTTGTGGCCAGCCTCTAGGGTCAGCACTTCTCAAATTTTAACTTCATTCTTGCCCCCCACTCCCTGCCTTTTTAGACTTTCTTTTCCCTGATCAGTTAAAAATAGAAGTTTTATTGAAATCTAATTCATATGCCATGGAATTTCCTTTAAAAGTATATCATTTGAAAGTGTCTTTTTAGAGTATAGTCACAAACTTTCACAAGCACCACCACTGTCTCAATCTGGAGCATTTTTATCACACCAAAAACAAAACCCCTACTCATTATGGAGTCACTCCCTATTCCCCTCTTCCCTTCACCCAGCCCTTGGCAATCACTGATCTATTTCCCATTTCTATGGATTTGCCTGTTCTGGACATTTCACAGAAATGGACTCATACACTATGTGACCTTTGTGTTTGACTTCCTTTAATGTTTTCAAGTTTTATCCACATTATAGCATGAACCAGTACTTGATTCCTTTGTATGGCTGGGCCACATTATAACCATTCATTGACTGATGGACATTGGGTTATTTCCACCTTTCTGCTATTGTGAATGATGTTGCTATAAACATTCATTTACAAGTTTTTGTTTCCAAACTTGTCTTCAGTTCTCTTGGGCACATACCCAGGATGCAATTGCTGGATCATGTGGTAACTCTATTTTTAACTTATTGAGGAGCTGCCAAACTATTTTCCACAGTGGCTGCACCATTTACATTCCTATGAGCAATGTATGAGGGTTCCTCATGCATAAGTGTTTGTGCAGAAACCCCATGAAATTTTAATACTGCATACTGTATGTACAGCATACTGTATCTATGTCTGTGCTTTATACATCAAAAGAATAATTTTTTTTCCCCTTCCCAACAACCACTTTTGGCCCTTTTGGGTGTACCATTGAGAACAAATGTTCCAGGTGAAGCTTGTCACTATCATCACTTCTGTTAACCCTTACAACCCTGAAGTGGGGGTACCATTCTTATCTCTTTTTATACCTTAAACAAAATCTGAAGCTCATAAGGGGGGTAGTTAAGTGACTTATTGTGACCTATTGTCTCATAGCTAGTATAAGGAGTCACAGGAATTCCAATCCCTGAGTCCTATTCTGACCATCGTTGACTCTGCCAGCAGTCAGCTTCCCACTTTTGGAAGAGGATTTCATATGTGATGTATGCCAAGTGGGCAGGCGGGACAAACAGGCCGGGCCCAGCTGGGAAGCAGCCGTGGCTGGTGGTGCATTTTGCTCCTTTCTCCCTGGAGAAACGACCCCAACTTCTTTTCTGGTCAGCACTTCATCTTTCGAAGGCAGGCATTTACTCCTGGCACCTGGTCCTCTGCCTCTTAGATCGTCAGAGCAGGAGGGGCTTTCTGAAGTGTGACGTCTCCTTTAACTTACAAGCAGTAAATCCAACTGATCAAGACTGACTTGCCCAAGATCATGGAGCCCAGGAGGCCGACGTCTCAGACCCCAACCCCTTCCCTCCAGCGGGCGGACTGAGTGGGCAGGGCATGTTTTCCAGCCTCCACAACCCCGCTGCCCCAACACCCACGCAACAAAAGGCAGAGGTCTCGCTGGGAACTGGGGATAATAAGGCACCCCACGGTGTCTGTCTGCCCATCACTCCCATGGGTACATATCTGCTCAACTGTCCTTCCCTTCTTCAGCTCAGCTTTAACTGCTGCCTCACTTACGGTGTGACATTCGGGGTCCTTATCTGTAAAACGGGAGCCACAGGGCTACTGTGAGAAGCGCATGAGACACGTGCTAAGTCCTGAGCTGGGTTCCAGGGGCGCTGGGAACCACGCCGGAGCTGTGCCGCCTTGCCCAGGCTCTCACCAAGGCAGGAGGTGCCCTTTTTGTTTCTTCGTCCCGTGCGTGAGCGAAGGGGGCAGCCGGCGGCGGGCAGTGGCTGAGCCGGGCGGATGCAGGCTCTGGCGGGGCTCCCAGGGCGCGGGGGCGGAGAGGGCTCCACCGACACGCTCTCGCTCTCTCTTGGCAGGCGGACCCTCTCCAAGGTCCGAAGGCCCTCCTGGACACACACGAACTCTTCAGTGTGGCTGCTTTGGGGGGGCGAAACGGGCAAGTCTGTGAGAAATTCTCCCTCTTACTACTATGGACACTTCCAACCGTGGTTTCTACTTCCTTGTTGTTTTTCCTTTCTCTTCCTTCCTTTCTCTTGTTTTATTCAAGTACAACATGCATCCTGGAAAATGAACAAGTTTTCTGTTGCTGCTATTTTCCCACGTTACCAGACGGTTCACGACCAGCCCTAGTCCCTGGCAGCTCCCCACTGCCCCCCTCCCCCACTCACTCCCCGACCTCCAAGGCCGGTCGCTCTCCTGACTTTTAACAGCAAAGACTAGTTTTGATTTTATATACTAAATGGAACCAGCCACTATGCACCCTGCGTTTGTCCTCTTTTTTCAACATTAGGTTATCGGATTCATCTGAATTGTTTCACTGTATTTGAGAGTTATCTTCGAAACTTGAAAAAAAAAAGTCCTTAGATCCCCACATCGTAAACACTTTATTTCACTACCTAAAGCACTCGCGGTTCTCGGCTCCCAGCCTCCTCCGTGGTTCCGCGGGCCCCCACAGCGGGAACCGAGCCCCAGCGCCGCTTCCTTCCACCCCTCGGAGGCTCGGTCTGCGGCTGCGCAGAGCGCCCTGCGTGGGGAGGGTTACGTGACGGCGACCGGCCCCCTACATGGCGGCCTCCTGCGTGGCTTTGCTGCCGACGTCCGTGTCTCTCTGCCGCTGCTGCTCCTGGTTGCGTAAAGGCAGCGCGGAGGCGCGGCCCGGCACGTGATGGTCGTGGTCCTGGGCGACGTGGGCCGCAGCCCCTGCATGCATCACCACGCGCTGTCGTTGGTCAAGTGCGGCTTTTCCGTGACCCTGGCTGGGGTCTGCAGTGAGTGCCCGGGGATCTAGGAGGGAGGTTGCTCTCTCAGACTCTGACCCTGTGGCTTTGACGCCCCTCTTTTCTCCCCGCCTCTGGGCAGCTCTCCGAGATTGAGCGAGCCGGGTTCCTGCCCAGCCTCTACCGGGTGGGTCTCCGGGAACAGCGCCTGCCCTGTGTCGGGACTGGCTAAGCTAAGTGAGCTCGTTGCATAGTACCGATGCTCCTAGTGTGTGGACAGATAGACTGGCATCAGGCGCGTGTGACGGTAGAGCCAGTGCTAGTGGCCACGTCTCGTTGGGGCTCCTGTTGTCAGGCTGTGTCTGAGCGGATAACTTGTCTCCTCAGCATTCCTCAAGTTCAGTGCAGAATTCTGCAGAGAGATGTTTTATTTGCACCTTATGTCCAGGTTTTCCCCTCACTGTGTAGCGGCAGGGGTGTCTGCTCCTCCATCTTCCTCCATGTTGACATCTTTAGAGGGTAGCTCAACCCTCTCTGTCAGGCAGAAGCACTGGTTGCCCTTGGTCCCTGTTGAGAGTCTCCTATCCCAGGGTGAGGGAATGGAGTAGGACTTCCCAAGGTTCTCTCTGTGGTGAGATAAATCCACTAAGCAGGGAATCTAGGTCAGTTTGCAGTGCCAGGTATTGTGTTAAGTAAATAAAGATGGTAAGATTTGGCCCTCCTGTCTGGGGTATTCTAGTGGAATCCAGATAGGAACTGGTGTTGTTCTGTGTTCTGATTGCTGAGGAACAGAGAGAGGTTTGGAAAAGTCTTATTTTTCAAAATGCTATGATTCAGCCTGTTGGTGGTCATCAGACTTTGGACAGGATCACCCTGTCCAATACATTAAAGGGGACATTTTTTTCCAGACTCCAAACACCACGAAGAGCTATTGCAGAGTGACAGAATTCAGATTGTGAGTTTGCCAGAACTTCAGAGACTTGCAGGTAGGATGCAGTCAACTGCAGATGGCCTTGAATCAGTGCATGTGTGTGTGGAATCTGCAAATTGCCAAATTTGGTAGTGACGGCTGTTTTTTGACTTGCAGTTGGGCCCCACATTCTCCAATATGGAGTCAAAGTTGTATTTCAGGCGGTGCACTTTCTGTGAAAGTTGATGTGCTGGGAGCCAGAAGCCTACATCTTTTTCCAGGTATGTCAGCGTCACCTCCCTCTGTGAGAACCACTGTTAAGTTTTCTCTACTTTCCAGCCTTTAAAAAATGTACTCATTGGTAAATAGATTACATATTTGCATGTATATATCGACTTCTGAAAACATGAGTAGAAGCTAATGGTCATTTGTCCATTTTTTTTTAGATGACCCATCTGTTCTATTTTTCTGTGTATTATAGAGTCTTACATTGTATTTATTACAAATCTAAGTGTTTCACATATGTTAACTTATTTAATTCCTAATAGTAATCTGAAGAAGCAGGTTCTTGTATTGCCTGCATTTTAGAAATGAGGAAACTAGACCCAGAAAAGTTCTGTAAGCAGCCCGTTGTACACAGCTTGGAAGTGCTGGAGTCAGGATTTGAAGCAGGTAGTCAGTCAGATTCTGAAGTCATACTCTGAAACTCTTACTGTAACTGCTAATTAACATATAGAAGCATCTTCTTTTCATTGGCTGCATTGTATTCCACTATGTGATGTACCCTAGTGTATTTAGTGTCATCGTAGTGTACACTCAGATACGTCCTGATTGTTTTTTTACTTTTACAAATAGTACAGTGAAGAGCATCAGTGAACATACTTTTTTTGCAGTTTCTTCCTTTGGGTAAATTCCTGTGGGTTGAAGTGCTTGGCCAGTGTTCATGTACTTTTAAAATGCTCTGGTGTATTGCTGGATAATCCTAGAGTAAGTTTGGGTCAATTTTTCCCCCATGCAATGGGGATGCCTCTTCCCCTGTGTCCTTACTACCATCAGCTATGGTTAGGTGTTTTAGAGTTTGCATTCTAATAGACAAAACATGCACCTCTTTGTTCCATTATTCATCTCCTTGATTATTGATGATCCTGGACTTCTCGGGTTGGCCAATTTTTATTTATTTTTTGGTGAGGAAGAAGGGTCTTTCTTCTGCTTATCAATCATCCAGAGCTTTGTGAAGATAATTAACTCTTTGCCAAGTTTGTTGCAACCATTTTCACTCAGTTTATTGTTGACAGTGACCCAGGTTTCCTCCCTTTCATTCAAGCCTCTCTTTCTCAGAACCCACCGGACTTGCCTGCCATTGCCATCTGCTGGTTTGTGGGCTGCCTCTGCTGGAGCAAGCTTGTCACTGACTGGCACAGCTATGGCTACTCCATTATGGGTCTGGGGCATGGCCCCCGCCACTGCCTTGTGCTGCTGGCCAAGTGGTGAGTGTCTGGGAGGAGTGTGCATACACTTTCCCCAAACTGCCCTAGGATGAAGGGTCAGCACGGAGTCTCAGTGAAGCTGGTTCTCCGTGTGCTCCTTGGTAAGTACAAGGCTGAGCAGTTAGGCTGCTGCTCATTACAAGTGACAGAAACAGGCCTAAGTAAAGGAGGGTGTTTGTTTTCTTACTTTTGCAAACATAAATTTGCATGAAATTGCAAGTCCAGAGAAATGGCTGATTTTGAGCTCAAAAGGGTGTCATTTGGGACCCCTGTCATCTCTTTCCACACTGCCTCCTGGAGGTGCTCCTCAGGGATGGGGAGCTCCCCTAGCTCTCATCCCCCTGCCTCAGGCTCAGTGCAGATAGCATGCCTCTCTTACTGGCTCATGCCCACCTGCTGTCCTCTGACTCCGCTGAGGCTGGGGTGGAGTTGGGGGCTGTTGTAGTACCCCGTTGTCTCAGGCTTGGAGGAAGGGCTCAACTGCAAGAGCTGGGTGCACTCAGACAGATCCCCAAATAAAATCTGGGAGCTGCTGCTGGACAATGGGGACGCAGGCCACAGTCTACTGTAGCTAAGACAGGGAGAGAGAAGGGCCTGTGGGAGCAGGTTGGACACGGAGTGGGAAGAGTTGTTCGTGTTCTGAGCCCGAGTGTGTTACATCTCCCTCGGTGGACCTCAGGCCACTGGCCAGCTGCCACCTTCCCCCAGATGGTCGTTTCCCTGGCAGTGGTAATGGCGGCGACAAACAGTTACTAAATACTTCACAACCTAGAAAACCGAGGCTGACCAAGGCTGAGAGCCATTATGCAGCTATTAAGTGTGAGGACCAAAATTTAGTCCTTGGCAGTCCAGTTCCAGAGCCTTCTCTGCCTCAGGGAGGAACAGGCCGAGATGCACCGGAAGCATTACCTAACCTTGAGTTGCTCTTTCCCCAGTTCTTTTTCAGTTCTGCCCATGAAGGGGCTTGAGTCTCAGTTGGGAGCTAATCTGTTGTTAACTAACATTTGCTAAATTCCCCTTATAATGCATGGAGCCCCGTGGCCTTTGCAGTCAGCAGTGCAGTGTGTTTAAGATTTAATAAGGTCTTTATTGTATTTTTTCTTTTTGTGGCAAGAGAGACTGGATTTTCCCTTCTGTAGTGATACTTGGTTTCCTTTTAAAGTAACTGTTGAAGCTGAAAGATGATAGGACATAAAGAAAGATGTGAAGGAAAAAATAGTACAGGTGGAACTCAGAGAATGCAGACTCTGGGAAGGTGCCTCACCAGCACCTGATTTAGACCCCAGCCTGGCACCTGATTTAGACCCCAGCTCCGCAGGTGCTGAGTCACACTGCGGGGTGGTAGCAGAGATGCTCGTCGTAGGCTGGGATTCCCAGCTGACTACTGATAACATCTTTGCAGGTATGAGAAGATCTGTGGATGCCTGTCCCACCTGAACTTGTGTGTGACCAACGTGATGCGGGAAGATCTGGCAGAGAGCTGGGGTATCAGGTAGGGGCCTGGGGAGGCGAGGGGTCCGTGCATGGTTCGTCCCAGCTGCAGTGCCTGCTTGTCGTGTTGGTGAGGCATCTAGAAATACCCAGAGGCCTGGCAGATGATTACTGGTTTTGAGAAGCCAAGGACGGAGGCTGGAGCTTCTTTCCCAGCCAGCCAGACAGTCCCCGCAGTTTTAGTCTTAGGACAGCTCTCTGTGTGTTCCCAGGTAATTCTAAACCTCCTTACTATCGTCTTGGATCCCCTAAGCACCCTTATTTTCCGGATCCTCCTGGGCTTTGTGTTCTGTAGGCCTTTTCCACCCCTCCCTAGAGTCTCTCAAATGATCTCCTTGCAGAGCTGTGACCATCTATGACGAGCCAGCATCTTTCTTTAAAGAGATGCCCTTGGACCTGCTACACCAGCTCTTCATGAAGCTGGGCTGAACCTACTCTGTATTCAGAGCCTGGTAGGTCTGTGTCTTCAAGCATTAGCTGCCTTCTCTTGCGCTTGCTGCTGTCGCGTTTCTTCCCTGTCTCCCTGTTGCTGTCTGACCTCCCAGTCTCCTTGCTGCAGACATGGGAATCCACTAATCCAGGGGTTGGCAAACAGTGGATGCAGGCCCGCCTCCTATCTTCATAAATAAAGTATTACTGGAATGCAGCACATTTATTTTATGTGTGTCCATGGCTATTTTTGTACTACAACAGGAGAGCTGAGTTTTGAAACAGAGACTGGATGTCCCCAAAGCCTAAAGCATTTAGTCTCTGGCCCTTTAAGGAAACGTTTGCCCTGTGCTAAGCTGGGGGCATCCTTACCTCCTGCTTGTAGGTTCCTGGCTCTGGCGAGGTCTATGGACCTGTGTGTTCTCTGGGGTGTCTCACTGGCTAAGAGGAGTTCCTTGGTGCAGCTCTTCACACAGCTGGTCGTTTGCTGCTTTCAGTGACCAGTTGGGTATCGTGTCTTCATCCTAAGTGAGGAAATGATAAGAACAGTAAGCCCCATGAAGGCAGGGGCTAAGCCCTGAGAATGCAGGGGCTAAGCCCTGAGAATGCAGGGCCTAAGGAGTCTTGTTTGCTGCTGTGACCTCAGCACCTGGCAACAAAGACATATATTTAGAGAAAGGAAGCAAGGCCTCGGGGCGTAGGGTTGGCCTGGTGACTGTGATGTGGCCGCACTACCAACCTTCGGAGCCTGTGGGCCTTACTCTGGTGGGAGATGGCAGTCCTGGGGCCCGTGGGCCAGCTCTGTGGCATCTCACGGCCTTTGTCTGCCCCATCAGCTCAGAACCCTTGGACCTGGCCTTGGAGAGGTCAGCCTTCATGGAGCAGGATGCTCAGAGTGTGATGGTGACACGTCTTGGAGGGCGGCCAGCCCTGTTGCTCAGCAGCACGAGCTGGACAGGTCTCAGGACCCTCCTGTGCACTTGGGGCTCATTTGCATGGCTGGCTGAGCCTAGGTTCTCCTTGCCCTAGCAGTTCGTGCCCCATATAATGAGAAAGGGGAGGGCTGAGCTCGGAGAGGCATCTGAAAACTGGCCTGTGACACTCAGCTGTCTTTTCTTATAGAAGATGAAGACTTCTCCATCTTGCTGGCTGCATTTCCCAAAGCCTAAAGCATTTAGTCTCTGGCCCTTTAAGGAAACGTTTGCCCTGTGCTAAGCTGGGGGCATCCTTACCTCCTGCTTGTAGGTTCCTGGCTCTGGCGAGGTCTATGGACCTGTGTGTTCTCTGGGGTGTCTCACTGGCTAAGAGGAGTTCCTTGGTGCAGCTCTTCACACAGCTGGTCGTTTGCTGCTTTCAGTGACCAGTTGGGTATCGTGTCTTCATCCTAAGTGAGGAAATGATAAGAACAGTAAGCCCCATGAAGGCAGGGGCTAAGCCCTGAGAATGCAGGGGCTAAGCCCTGAGAATGCAGGGCCTAAGGAGTCTTGTTTGCTGCTGTGACCTCAGCACCTGGCAACAAAGACATATATTTAGAGAAAGGAAGCAAGGCCTCGGGGCGTAGGGTTGGCCTGGTGACTGTGATGTGGCCGCACTACCAACCTTCGGAGCCTGTGGGCCTTACTCTGGTGGGAGATGGCAGTCCTGGGGCCCGTGGGCCAGCTCTGTGGCATCTCACGGCCTTTGTCTGCCCCATCAGCTCAGAACCCTTGGACCTGGCCTTGGAGAGGTCAGCCTTCATGGAGCAGGATGCTCAGAGTGTGATGGTGACACGTCTTGGAGGGCGGCCAGCCCTGTTGCTCAGCAGCACGAGCTGGACAGGTCTCAGGACCCTCCTGTGCACTTGGGGCTCATTTGCGTGGCTGGCTGAGCCTAGGTTCTCCTTGCCCTAGCAGTTTGTGCCCCATATAATGAGAAAGGGGAGGGCTGAGCTCGGAGAGGCATCTGAAAACTGGCCTGTGACACTCAGCTGTCTTTTCTTATAGAAGATGAAGACTTCTCCATCTTGCTGGCTGCATTAGAAAGTAGGTGTGTGGCCGTGATCAAGAGCTGGGCTAGTCAGGGGCTGATGAGCTGTGAGGTGCTTGCACAGCCTTGCATGGCATCCTCTGCAGCATGTTCCTACCCCGAGAACACTGGGTGGGCCAGCCTGAGGACATGGGAGGTGGAGGTGGCAGCTGCATTCCCATTTGGGTCACTGGGTGGCCAGCCCTAGATCTGAAGGACTGCCTCCGGGAGAGTGAACCTGTGATTAGGAGTGGTGTCCCTCCTCAGCTCTGCTGCCCCCTCCCCGAGTCTGAATAGATGATCCTGGTTATCCTTTATTGTTTTAAACATTTTAAACACAGAGTTTGAACAGCTGATCCTGGATGGGGAAAGCCTTCCTTCTCTGGTCTGTGTGATAACAGGTACCACCTGTTACGGGACCATCCATGTTCCGTATTAAATGGGGTTAGTGAAGTGGGTAGAAGGCACCTGCCTTTATTGTGAGGACTGCCTTCCCCACGTCAGGCACATGATGTTCCTTGTCTCGTTATTCCTCACCACCACTCTGATGTAGGGTTTTCTACACCAGCTTGACAGAGAGAGAAACTGAGGCTCAGAGGGGCCTCATGCAGGGCATGGAGTCTAGTTGAATCTCTTAGAGCATGATCTCAGACATCCTGGGGCTTTCCAGTTCTGCAGTGATTCCCAGGTATCTTTCTCTCTCTTTTTTTTTTTTTTAAAGAAAGAATGTATTGTCCCATGTAAAACTGCTTCCAGAGTAGGCCAGTGGAGAGAAGCAGAGTATGGCTGGAGGAGGAGGGTCCTGGGTCAGCTTCCCCACCTTGCACATTGGGCCTTGTGGCTCCTGGGGGCAGCCGGGGGCCCACTGCACATGCTGGGGCACAGGACGGCACATGTGAGCAGCTGTATCAGTTGGCACTCTGGTGCCTGGCAGGTTTATCCTGACCACCTCCCCAGCACAAGGCCCGCTGGGTACAGGTTCCTGGGGGGCAGGGCTGTGGACTCAGTAGTCAGGGCTCACACCCCTGGGTGTGGGCCTTCTGCTCATGCCCTTGCAGGGGCTTGTCAGGCCTGGGGTTGGGATGGGGACAGAGATGGGCCCAGTGCAGTGACTTGTATTTTCTGTGCAAGGCAAAGGTCCTCTGAAGGAGTATTACAGCCGTCTTATTGACCAAAATCATTTCCAGCACATCCAGGTCTGTACACCATGGCTGGAGGCTGAGGACTACTCCCTGCTTCCAGGTAACAGCGTCCAGCAGGAGGCCTGCAGCAAAAGGGCTGAGATTTGAAAAGGGATCCTGGGGCAGGGAGACAGTTTTTCTGAAAGAGGCCAGGTAGTAAATATTTTACCAGCCTATCTCATAGTCTGTTTTCACAGCCCTTTAAAAATTAAAAACCATTCTCAGCTCAAGGGCCATGCATATACAGGCCTCAGCCCTACCTTGGGCCCTGCTCTAGGGGCCATCTGGGGCAGGGAGATCCGTCTTCCAGGAACCTGTTGGAGGAGCTCTTGGATGAACTGCAGGCCATGAGGCTGATTCCTGGTGGGCCCAGGAGCTGTTCACCCAGGGATTCTGAGAGGGTTACGTTTGTTTGGCCTCATGTGCTCCATTTAGTCTTGCTCTTCCACCCATCTGGGCAGAAGGGCTGGGTGTTGGGTTGTGGCCCATTCCCTGAGTCTGGGAGGGCAGTGTCTGGGAGGTGCAGGGATGATGCACAGACAGTGCTGACCGTCCCAGCAAGAAGCCTCCGCCCTCGTCCTCCCACCTTCATTACTCTGGGGAGGGGAGTGCCAGCTGGCTGCACTGTGACTTCTAGGGCCTCACCTTCCAGCGGCCGGAGCCCTTGGTAGGCAGGACTTTCCTGCCAGTGTTGTGATGTGAGGTTGTCTATTTGGCTTTACTTTTACAGTGACAGCTGGTTCTCTCTCTTGGGTCCGCTGTGGGTTCTTTTTCTAACAAAATGAGCTGTTTTAACCATTATTCCATTTTTAAGTGTGTATCCAGCTCAGTGGCATTAGTTGCATTCACAGTGTTGTGCAATCATCACCACTATTTCCAAAACATTTTCATCACCCCATGCAGAAACTTTGAACCCATTAAGCAGTAAATGCTATGGATTCTTTTAAAATACATTGTGGTTAAGTAGAAAAGAGCAATTAGTTTAAATAAAAATACTAATGTCAGGTGGGTAGTTTTCAGATAGGGCTGAATGGCCAGGAATGGCAGTTGGGAACCGCCTCCATGCCATTAGCTGCATTCACCCTGTGCCAGGCTGCTTGGCCAATTCCAGCCACTTGTGGGGCTAGGGGCGCAATTACCCATTTTGTACTTACTTCCCACCAAAGGTGTTGATCCAGTTATTTGGGGATTTGTGTGCACAGGAAGCACGGCCAGCGCTCTGACGGCCCCTTGCTCTCACCCCGCAGGGTCGGTGGACCTGGGTGTGTGCCTGCACAAACCCTCCAGCAGCCTGGACCTGCCCATGAAGGTGGTGGACATGTTCAGGTGCTGCCTGCCTGTGTGTGCCCTGGACTTCCAGTGGTAGGAGCAGAACCGAATCTTCCGGGAGTTAGGTTCTCATTCAGCACCTGGGGGTGGGCGGTGGAGGGAGGGATCAATGCAGTCAGGATTGCTCCAGGAATGTCGCTGCCTCCCCATCCATGCCACACAGCTAGGTGGCCCTAGACATTTGGAGCTTTTGTGGTTCTTGGGAGTAGGCTGTGCCCCACTGAGGAGCTGACTTCCACAGAGCTCATGCTGAACAGAAAGTAGTGTCTTAGTACTCTGCTCAAGGGGGGCTCGTGTTCACAGGATAAATTGGTGCCTGGCCCTGCCTGCACAATTCACATGGTTTTTATTTTCCTCTATCCCTGATGTCAATCTTATACGGTCAATTTGAATTAGTTAAATGAGCATAATTCCCTGTCTCCACTCTTCCTGGCAAAGCTGGGCATTGGAGAGGGTAGTGTTAGAGGAGGCCCTAGAAACAGTGGCCCCGCCGGGTGCTCAGAGCCAGCCTTTGAATGGGACACACAGGATATCAGACCTGAGCTCTGGACACATAGGGATCAATCTCCACTGGTTATCCAGCCTTGCGTGCTGAGCCTCCCTCCAGGGTGGCTGCCTTTTACTTCATTTCTCTGCTGTGGAATTCAGACAGAAATGTAGAACTCACTGAGTATATTCTTATAAGAGTGTGTAGCAGGAAAGGTCCAAATCCTTTTACTGCCTCTCCTTTCCAGAATAGGTTTGGATTTTTAGTGTGTATCCATCCAGTTTTTTTTTTTATTCACACTCCAAATCTAAGAACAGATTGACTGAAACAGGACCGACTGTTCCTGGCCCTCACTTAGCCTGTGGGT